TGTGATCGAGTTCATTTTGAGTTCGACTCCCTACAGTTGCTGACCTCTAATTTGTCAAAGTAAATGTTCACTTGAAACAATTTGCAATACGACAATAAGGTGGTGTATTTTTAACGTTCAGATTCAACGTCTTCCTTCTCATGTCATTAATGAAGCATTCTAATTTGAAATTAGGTTACATTTTTCGCACAAAGATACAATTTCCAAGGACAACGTTCTATCTCACATTCTTATTGAAATTATAGAGCATACTACGATTGGTAGTCACATATATACAACCTTATAAGTCACAATCACAGAGTATAGCATGTTACAAAAGCATACATTATTTCAAATATTTTAGGCCAATCATACAACGTGATAGATCACAGACATAACTTTTGAACGAAATCGACAAATTTCCAAAGTCTTATGTCTATGATCATATTTTTCAATTGTACATGCAACATAGATCTATTTACATTTTTGTAACTAAAAGTCACAATCACATAATTTTTTAGGTCATATTCAATTAACGTATTGAGTCACAATCAGACATCGTAATACGTCGTAGTCACGTTCACACTAATAATAGGTCACATTCTCAAATATAAATATTTAACCATGATTCTCGCGATTATCACTGCCAAAAATACGAATAACCTGGATAAGCACAATTTCCAAATGAAGTCACAATCTTCTCACCAGCTAATCTCACCGCATTCTTCAGATTCACACACATACGTAAATGATAGAAAAATATTTGTTTGACCAAAATATCTATCATTGTCACACATTCAAACTAATATGTCACATTTTAAAAAAGAAACATTTATGTAAATAACAATGAAATTATTTTGTCATGAAAACTTCTAGAATTGCGAACATAAAAATAGACTGTAAATGAAAGTTTAGATCTTTGCTTGTAATTAAAATGAGAGTTTTGCTAGGGTTACATAATTTGGTGTACCGAATGGTTTACATTCTCTCACATGGTGGGGTTCACTCGAATATTTTATTCACGTGAGTCCCACCCTCATGTAAGATGATGTACACCCTTCGGTACACCAAATTATGTACCGTTTGCTTTATCCATAAAATGTAGAGGATATTGTGACTACGACTGGAAAATTTGATTATGCTTAAATTGATTTGGTGAAATTGATGCCAAATTAATCAACTATGTTGAAAAATCATGTGAAAAGTGGGAGACTACATTTATATTGGTACGAAGGTGAGATAATGTTGGTGAGGAAATAAACAAGTGACTTTTATTTTAGGAAGTGATAAGATGAGAAACTAGAAATATTATCCTCAATTACCTGTAATAACACTTAATCTAAGTCACATTATTTTCTTCTATAAATCCATAAATATGTAATTATTAAGAAAATTACATATAATTTTATGATCTGATTTTTAAAACAAATTTATAAGTTTGATATTTTTGGAATTCGTAATTTTAATGATAATTATGATTTTTTTCCTTAAAAAAAAATTGATGAGTGAGTTGGACTTCAAGGGCCCAGATATTTGTTTCGTTTAATGGACTTTATTTCTTCAGTGGGTCAAAACTAATCCAACTTCTAAGCTATCGTAGAGAGCTCTGTGGGATTTTCAAGCCCATTTGAATTGGAACCATTATAGGGAAAATTACATAAAACCAGGTGTTTAAATATTACAATTCAAAGATCTAGGTTAAAGTTTCATTATGCAAAAATCAGGTATTGATTTAATAATTTAAATATTAAATAAATCCACCCAATTCATTTCACATTTCTAACCCTAATCATTCATATATCAACACACTTTTCCATCCCCTCTCTATCTGATTGACACCAGCGACTACTGCAACTGGCGATGAAGGAGCGCAACGGCGTGGGGAGGTGTCGGTGCTGGCATGGGGGAGGTGACGCTGCTGTGAACGCAGCGTCGTGACGTCCTTTCTCTTTTCGATCTATAGGCAATGGGGTTGGGTCGTCTCCACCTTCTCTCTTCGACGCTGATGCGCTGGTACTGACGTGGGGGAGGCGCATTGGAGCTTTGGCATCTGCTCTTGCAAATGCCTCACCCACAAAACGGAGGACTATGTTGGGCGAAAATCTGTACCCACTGGTCGAACAACTAGACCCTAACATGACAGCTAAGGTGACAGGCAAGCTTCTGAAAATGGACCAGACGAAAGCTTTACACTTGCTAGAATCACCAGATGCTTTAAAAGCTAAGGTTGCAGAGGCTATGGAGGTTCTGAGGAACATGTTGCAGCAGCAGGCTAGCAACCCGATAGAACAATTAGCTGATTTGGCATTGAATTAATGATTTTATATGAAATGGAGGTTGAATTTTATACTGTGGGTTTTTTTGTTGAATTGGTGTTTATTTTGTTGACGGTGTTAGTGAGGTGCAGTCGATGGTGTAGTGCAAGCGACAATTGCATAGTGATGATTTGTGACCAAGATTGGTTCTGGATTTGGATTGGTGGTGGGGTATTTGGTGCATGTGACTAATAATTTTAAACATATGTGACCCTGTGACTCGTAATTTTTTTAATCTGTGACCAATGAAATAATTTGTGACCTGTAAATTTTTGATCTGTGACCTACAAAAATTTTTATTTGTGACCTCGAAATAATCTGTAACAAATTAATTTAATGATATGTGACCAATAATTATGAATATGTGACCATTAATCGTGTAATTGTGACTTTATTATATCTAGTTAATAAATATTTTCAATTAATTATGTAGAAACTTGAATTTTGAATTTTTAAACTTTGTACCTCATTCGTGAATTGGTGTAAACAATACACCTTACGTATGAATTTTTCCCATATTTTAAGGTGAACATTCAAAAATTGTCAGTAAGGGTAAACTTGTCATTTCTTAACAAGACTAAAAAAAAATATATAATTGTTGACCTACAGTTGATTTTACATTTTGATTAAAACAAACAAATTGCTTTTATCTCTTACATTTGAATTTGAGTCGTTATAGCTATTGTGGCAATTGATCAATTGAAGACAAAAAGATCGCTATCATAAGACTCGCAAATTGACACCCAATGAAAATCGAGCATGGACGCCGAGCATGGACGCAAATATATCAAAAAGAGCAACACAACGTTAAACATCGAAAATATCGGACCCAGAATTTTGAATTCATATGTAAAGGTAAAATGCTTTAATCTTTAGCAATGAAATTTTTATGCACGGGAAAACTATTTCATGGAAATACTTGCATAAAAAAATTTAAAAAAAAAAATTACTGTCTCAAAAGGTAAGAACTTCAACCACCTAGTTTGAAAAGTTAAGTGAAAATGTCCTTCAAAAGTCCACATTTTCTAAACAATCAAAGAAAGAAAAATTAGGAAAAACAGTGCCCAAGTGGATGTCCGGTTGGCCTAGCGGACATCTTCTAAACAGCCGAATTTTTAATTGTTTTGAAATTCCGAGGCACAACAACCAGTTTAGTGTCGGGTTCAAAAGCGAACGTCCGATAGAGATGTCCACTTGGATAGAACTTTTGGCGTTTTAATTGTTATAAATACAACCTCACTTTACATTCAATTGGAGAATTTTAAGAGCATTAAAGTGAGATACTATTGAGCAAAATTATTAAACTCTTTGTTTATTTTCATCAAATCAAATCATTTATTTTGAAAAACTTTTGATTGAATTAACTTTTAAAAATCATTCTTCTCATCAAAGTTTTTCTTACCTAACACTTGAGTTTCATTTATTGCTTTTCATTAAAGTGTTAGCTTACTTCCCTCTTGGTACTTAATTTTGATTATATCATTTATCAAGAGAGAATTTCAAATTGTAAACTCATTACTCTTTGAATTTGTGGGTCATATAGAAGTCCCGTAAAATTTTATCATGTATAAGGATCGGCGCTCCTTGATTGGAAGTCATCGAAAGCATATTGCACTATAAGTCAATCAATATAGTGAAAAAAATATTGCTCGTGACGGAGAATTTTGTAACGAAGGACGTAAGTCATTGGTTGGAATCAAACCTTCACAATTACATCATTTGCACATTTTCTTCCCTTCTACTTGTTACTTTTGTATTTGTGCACATTTGTTTGATTAAATTATTTGCTACCAAATCTATTTAAATTTAAATTTATTTTTGAGAAAAATTTTAATAACCAATTCACCCCTATATTCATATAAGTATCGATCTTATCAGCCCCCAGGGCATATCTCCCAGTGGCAAAGGGGAGGATGGATAGGGCTCAGTGCGACAGTGTGCAGAGTTCGATTCCCCGCAAAGTGGAATTGGCTTTATTGCAAGCGGGAGTTACCATATGGGTTAACAGTCTTGGCCTATCCATATGCTCTCCACCCTGGCTCCTGGGAGGCACATCCTACGATTTACCTCCTCCACGATGGCCCAGGGTAGGGTCGGTGGGGGCCCCTAAGGTTGGGGTTCAACCATTTTTTTTTTTTTTTTTTAAAGTATCGATCTTATCAGGCTTTGTCCTATTTAAATGTTTTCTGCAAATGACTACGTAAGCTAGTGAATTCTCAATCATGGCATTGCTTACCTATATTTTAGCCCTTGTTTGAGTCTCAATCTTTTGAAAAAAATACATTTTTCAACAGTATTTTGACATCATTTCAAGTAAACATTTTTCGATAAAATAATATTACACGCAAATCCAAAACTTTTTCTTATTTTTTGCCCTTGTTTAAGCCCCATTTTGATGGGAAAAATTAAATTTTGAATAGTGTATTGATGTGAAATGTGTTGTTAAAAAATAACGAAAAGTTTTGAATTTGCGTGTAATATTATTTTATTGAAAAATATGTGGTTGAAATTATATCAAAACATTGTTAAAGAATTTATTTTCTCCAATGAATGAAGATCAAACAAGGGTTTAAACCACACAGTTCTTATCAATACACTATTTAAAATTCATTCTTCCCACAAAAGAGCTCAAACAAGGGCTTAATGAATTTACAATGCAGTAGAACAGTAGAAATACTCCATTAGAATGGTCGAGTCCTAGTAGAAATCTATCACCTATTGCTTACATTAGTGAATTCCCAATCATGGGATTGTTTACGTATATTTTAATGAATTGACAATGCATTAGAAATAAACTATCAAAATGATGGAGTTCTAGTAGAAATCTATCACCTATCGTCGAGGTGATCTTTGCTTAATCTAAAAATATTGTCCATTATGCTTGAGGTGATGCACCTATTGCAACTTGAGGCTCGAGTATTATGATTTAACCATATCCTCTTAGTTTTTTGTTTTTTTTGTTTTTCTTTGAGTATCGTATGAGTCCCTCGAAAATCAAATCTTTGATCAAGATTACATTGAACGCGTATACAAAGAATCCCTTTGTTTTGATAGATAAATATATTCATACTATTGTTTCTAGTCAACCTTATTTCACATCAAACGTCATAAAAAGGAAAAATAAATCCCACAATATCCAAATACCAAACAAATTAAAAAATCTTGAACAACAACATGAATTAGTCAATCCAACTAACTACAAGGAGGCTTCAATCCTAGGCTCAAAAGAAAATGCACACACCAATTCTTTGGACTCCCCATTCATATAGCATTGGGGCAATTCAATCCATTCATTTGTCACCAAATTGCACAGAGCATAGCTATAGTTTTCTGCAGAATTCAGGCAGACCAACATCTGGTGGCCGTTGCCGGTGCCGGTGCAATTTATATCAACTTTCTTGCCGTAAAACTCATGGGACATTGCCGGTGGCATTGCTGCAATCTGAACCCATAACTGATTTTTCTCATCCCATTTCCATACACGAAGGGTAGCAGTTTCCAGGAATTCGTGAAGAACTACGACATAGATTTCTCCTTCACTTTCAATTATGTCGATTGCGTACTCCGAGAAGACGGGCAATATTCTTGGATACTCGAAGAAGAATTTGTGTGTAAGATTGCAGGAAACAACTGTCCCAGACGAGCTTAGGAAATAAAGAATTTCTTCGTCGTTTTTATGGATGATCACCGATGAATACTGCTTACATGGGTTCCTCTGCAAATTGGTGGAAATTACATTGCCACACTTGCTCAAGAAATACAGTGAGAAATCATCTTCGGTTTCGATTTCAGTTTCAACAGGATTGTCAATCTTTCTATTGAGGACGGCGTCTTCTTCCCATTGATCAGTGCTGGAGTTGTAGGTTCTGAAAGAGAGGATTGAATATGGGTATTCCCCGGAGACTGACACGAGCTTGAAGCATTCAGATGTGGAGGTCATCGAAATGGCCTGAAGGTGTTTGCTTTTTTGCCACTGAGAATCCAATGAGGCTAGCCGACGGCACGAGCTGGTGACAGGGTTGCAGGCTATGAATTCACCAGGTTCACGGTGGAAACAGATCAGTCCACCTGATGCTGCAACGGGAATGAAATTGCTGCAAGAGTCAAGGTACTTATTTTTTTGAAGGAGTGGCAAAGAATTGAGCTTTTTCCAGGTTTTTTCGGTAGAGTCGAAGACAATGGGGTGGTAATTTAGGTGGGATTGAGAATCAACCATGAAAAACCAGGGATCCCGGGCTGGAATCTGTAAGCAAGCAAGCTTGAAAGTAGCAGAATCTGCCACTGATTTCCATTTCTTGCACACAGAAGTATTGCGAAAGAAAGTAGATGTTGGCAGCCATGAAAGAACCCTTTCAAGAACATCTTGATTTAGCTCATCCAATGGAAATCTCACACCTTCATCTTCACACATTACTGGTAATTTTCTCTTTTGACCCCTATCCATTTCTTGAACTCAATCAAGCACTCAGCAAGTATATGCTTTTGTGGGGTGTGAAACAAAGTACAAAATGCAAGATTGGAGTATGTTGGAAGAGGACAATATAAGGAGTGTGTGAGTAAGGAGGAAGTTTCCTAAAGGGCTTTTTATCTAGTTAGAATTTGTGGTTGACAAAGAGTAAAGTAGAAGAATGCATTGACAAAAATTGTTGTCACGGATGGGAATGGGAGAAAAAGAAAAAGTCGTAAAGGTAAATGTTAATTAGGCCGCAACAGAACCCAAGAAAGGAGTCCCTGTCATCCCGGCGCCGCTAGGGTTCTGCTGACTTCTTGTAACGAAAGAACATTACAAAGGTACCCTATGCTCAATCTTTGCTATTCTTTTTCTCATTTTTATTTTGATGCCAATACATCAATTTCCCTGTTGTTTTTAGTCGACTCTCAAGTTTCGACTTTGTCTGGCATTTCGTTTTTTGTGTTTGAGCAGGTTTACGGATTAGTTACTTGAAATTAGATATAAGTACCAACTTTTGCGAGCTAACATGTGAAATTGACCTGACGATTAGTTGAGTATTACGTGAGATCTAACATGTCGACACGATAATATGAAGATGCCAAAGACGTAGGTAAACACAAGATTTTGAAAAAGGATTGAATAAATGTGTCGAAGGGGAGACGGAGGGAGGGGAGTGACTTACTTCCATAAAGCAAATACTAGCATTTTCATTTTCTTAAAAAGTTTGACATTCTGCAAGTGTCCCGTGCATCTAACCCTCGTGCATGGAATTTTTCTTTATACATACAAATACTTTAGTATAATATTTTAGTTTTGTCAGTATTTAAAGTCAAAATGTAGAATCCAAAGCTCTGACTTTTGTTTCCAGTATAATTTACTATGTTATTTCGTGGGAGTAATGGCATTGGATGCTTCAAGGGTCAGAGAAATGATTAAGAAATGAAGAAAAAGCCATGAATTCCGGTCTCTTTTTCTCGTGTGCTGTACAGTAATCTCGTGAATTGTGGGGAAAAAGCAAGTTTTGGCTGATATTGAGAAACAATTAATTCAATTAAAAATAAATTCCAGAATCAGACGGAAATCTCTAACTCTAAGCCCTTTTCCACAATGCCGGACGCTCCACGCTTACTAATTTTCTGTTTTTCTTTTTCTAGAAGGATTAATAATTTGCATAACGTTAATTGTACATAATTTTTTGTATATTAAGTTATTCATTCGAGTGGGTCCCACCCCATGAGCGTGTATGAATACTTTTTCTTGAATTTTCAGAATTTATTTCCATCTTCGTTAAAAAATAGAATCAGTGGCAGTTACATTTTTCTATTTATTTTCTTCACTTTTATTCGAGAGAGAATTTTATTTAACCATCAATTTTTACATTGAAATCGCACTTGCACTTTGGCGGACAATTTATTAGTCATTTTAGTATTCCTTTATTATAAAACAGAGAGAGATGATTGCTTATATTGACTAGAGTAGAAGTCCAGTGATTAAATTGAAAAGAATATCAACTATTAAAGTGGTAAACTTAATGGTTAAAGTATTTCAACCCCAATTAAAGAGTAATACTATTAATAGTGAATAATACCAATAACCGTATTACGAGGCATACACAAGAAGTTTGATATTTGATGCATAAAGTAATAAAAAATTATCACATTAATGCATCAAATAACAAAGTTCCTTGTGTATGTCACGTATGGTGATATCCAGGGGCGGATCTAGAATTAGATCCAAGATCGGGGTATAAAATTTCAAGTCGGGCTATACGCGGGAAAAAAAATTTACACATAAAAAACAGCTTTTACAGAAAAAAAGAAAAAGAAAAATGCCTTAAAAAAAAAATAAAAAAAAATAAATAAATAAATAAATATATAGAATTGAATTCAAGATTGGGTCACAAAATTTCAAGTCGGGCTAATATATGAAAAAAAAAATTACAAACAAAAAACTGTTTTAAAAAAAAAAAAATGAATATATATATATATATATATATATATTTCTTGGGCTTTGGGGGGACTACATCCCAACTTAGTCCCCCTTAAATCCGCCCCTGGTGATATCGGTAGTCTTCATTACGAATACCATTACTCAATTAAGAAAAAATGAAAATTGATCCCATCGAATGAAATCTACAAGTAGTTTTGCTCCTTAAGAATCGCACTTGGACTTTAATGGCCCTTGATTTTTATTCAACATTTTAAGATGTGTTGTATTCAATTTTGTTCAATCAAATAGCTAAACTATATTTAATTTTAGTCGAGTAATATTCTTTAATTTTAATCGAGTTTTTAGACTTTGATTTCATTCAATTAAGGTAATTTCATCTATTTCCATTGACGAAAATTGATGAGGTGACAATCAACGAATGATGGTCATCATATGTTACAGTCAGCAACCAGCGTGGAATATGTACAATTTTAGTGAAATAAATGATAGTCATGTTTTTATCAACTTTCCTTAGTCCAATGATGGAATTGAACAGAGATACCAAATTGGATTTATGTTGATGTATAGTTACTCAATTAAACAAAAATGAAGTACAATTACCTAATCAACATGAATAAAAGTCTAGTTATTGCGAATGGAATTAACCCTTTACGATTGCTGTTAAATTTGGGAATGCTTTGCTAAGCGATTTTAACATTGGATGGTAAATAGATTTTTTGACTATTAATTTCGGGTTGAAATTCGTATAAGATAGGAAGCATGAGACGTGCTTATGGCATTACAAAACACAAGTTTATTTAGAAGAGGAATGTTATTTACAGTTGTTCACTAACGTAGTCATCTTCCATAGCATATATGTCACAGTTGGTGGCTTGGTACATTAATGTGATAATTTATTATTATTATTTTTTTGCCTTATGCATCAAATTACTAACCATCACATGTATGTCACGTAGGACGACTATGGTAATGAGCTACTACAAATAACATTATTCTATTTACAAAGGTTGTGCCCACAGTCCACATAATGCCAATGTGGTTAGTTATAACCTAATATAATTACTTATTTTGGCTTAACTAATGTCATTTAAAAAAAACAAAAAGAGAAATTTTAAAAGTAAATTCAATTCTCTCATTTTGGATTAAGAGAAGTAGAAGTATATGAACCGAGTGAAACTAAAACAAAGAAAAAAAGAAAGAGATATCTTATAATAAGCAAGCAATAAGACGATTCATGAATCATTTAGTCAAATTGCATCTCCAAGCTGGATGAGTTGATGTAAACATGAATTTAACTCAATTGACACAAAATCTAATTGATCAACTTAGCAAATCATTTTTTTCCACAAGGATTCATGATGTCTTTCTAAGGTATCGTGAGTCTTTTTATTAGTTCCTATTTGTGGTGCACAATTTCTTGGAATGTAGGTAGTGGTTATGATTGATTCGATAGAAAGGAATGGATATTGTATTTTTCATTGGGGATTTCCTAGAAAAATTCGTTGGCGCTTGTGTTCCTAATTATCAAATAATTTTAAGAAATGCTCACTCTAAGTGGAAAAAAGTGTAGCTAGTTTATGAATGAAATGCTTTCGCCTTGTAATTTATTTGTTCATAAGCATCGTGAAACTATATAATCACACATTTTATAATGCAAACACTGGATCATCATTCTTACAATTCATAAAGTAACATAGAATGTTCATACTAAGGAAAATCGAAAATTAATTCTTGAAAGATATGTATACATGAGTAATGTACTCAATTGTCGAAGCAAAACGAGCTTCAACACTATTTTCTACAAATCTAGAGAGTTGTTTCATTGTCTTTGATTGCATCATGCAATATTTTCAAAAGGTCGAAGAGGTAAATGGAAATAACATAGGTATCCAAACTTACATACATATTTTTAAGCGTTAAAAAAAAAAATTGTAATCTTTTCGTTTAGAAAATGGAGATAGAAGATCTTATGATAATTTATATTTAATATGGAACATGTTTATTTAAATTGATTTTTCACCTCGACAAAGGTATGAACAATGTTCGTGTCAAGTAAATGCTTGGGTGCGTGACCTGTGCTTTGCAAGAATATTTTTAGGGTTGTATGATATAAACTTTTTTGGGAATAGATATTGTGAAATTTGTATTTTGGGAGAATGTGTATTAAAAAGTAGGAAGTTATGGATTCATGTACAAGTTTATTTTATTAAGAGAACGTATGATTGAAAATAAGTTTAAAAAACTCGTACCAAATAATTATCATAAATTACATCTCAGAAAATAACTCTTGCCCACCAATATTAGAATCTTTATCGTGTTTCAAAATTCTTCATTTTTATTACATCAACACTTTAAAATAATTATCATTTGTAGTCTATAATTTTTTAAATTAAACAGAAATTGAAAAGCATTTTTATATTTTTAAAATTGTTAAAATCTGAATTTAGGTGAAGAAAGAGCTTGACAAATATATAAGAAAGAACAATTCTAATTTTGATTGTATAGAATTGTTCTTACAGAAGAAAATCAGAAGTATCACAAATGGTCGACCCCACTGCGGGACCGGATATAATAAAAAATGAAAAAAAAAAAAATTTCCAACCCCACTCATGTGTGAGACCTTTGTAAGAGATCTGTGAGCTAGGGTTCTGTAAACCCAACTCTGCTTTATAAGAAATAATTAATTCTAAAAGATTCTTTAACTCTGTGTTATTTTATCATTGACATTTTCATCATATTGCTTTTTCTTTTTCCTTTTTTTAAAATGAAACTTGCTTTTCATGAAATGTAGGTTCAACATCAATTTGAGAAGCAATTTCTTTATTGTAATCTTGTTGAATTCTAATCTATTTCTCTGTGCGCTTCAAAAAATTAAATAAGTGATTTCGAGTGACTAATAATAGCACCAATAGACGTCTTCACTTTGTAATTTTTTGCTTACTCTATTAGTAGTAGGCAATATATTGTATCAAATATTCATGTCAAACAAGAACTCAAAATTCATAAAGTCAAAAGATAAACTTTTAGTATCTCTAGATGCCTTAGGGTCATCTCTTGTTTTCACCATGTGTTTTAAATCATCTTTTGTTGATGACGTTTGAAATATTATTGCTTTAAAACTTTCAACTTGATTTTCTCAAGTGTTTGTGATAGTGATTTAAGTGTTAGGCCTTTCAAAATATCATGAAAAATTTTCTGTCACTTTGTAAAAATGAAAAAATAAAACTAAATAGAATATAATGCATCCTCTACTTTTCAAGCTCTAATGAATGAAGTTTTCAGTAAGTGCTAGAAAAATTATAAATGCCCTTTTGATGACATTTTTATAAGATTAATTGTTGTGAAATTTTTATTTGTCCATCAATAAGAGGAATGTGAGCCTATAAGTCTACTAATCATATGGAATTTAATTCCCAGCCAGCAACCGAGAAACAAAAGTGCTACGTGTGTAGCAACTTGTACAATCCTCTCACATATAAAGCTGAGGCTTGAGATTAAAATAATCGCGAATCTCACACATGTGAGAGGGTTGTAATTTTTATAGCACATTAGTGCTGTACAAGCAACTTTATTGATTGAGAAAAGATCTAACCTCTGCGAAATAGACGAGAAGGGTTTTAGGTAGTAGCCTCTTTTCTTTATATCAGAATAAAATGTGATTTTGTAAATATTTTTGCTTCCCTTTCATATTATAACCATTAATCTCTTAAATCACCAACATCAAATTTAGGAAAATTTCATTTGTACCAAATGGGAGTTAAAGA